TCAAACACCCTCATAAACTGGTTGAACAAGTCCAAACCTTCACCTAAAGGTTGGTAGAAACCTTGATAATGGATAAGTCTTCAAGCAGATTGGAAGGTGGAACCTTGACCGAAGACCAAGATCTCCAAAATCTTGCGGTAGAAAGTTCTGTCATCAAAAGGTAATCTGACTTTGATACAATGATCCACGTTCCAAAATGTCACTTTTAATCCAGTCCTCACTGTTAAATCCTACTCAAGATCAAGTTGTCCTCATCCTTCTCTAAATCCTCTTGTCATATTCTTTCTTCATCTGACCCCATTCTATAGCGTCGAGTGCCCACTCACTCCTCACTTTCTCTCTAGATACTGACATGCAGGCCTCGATAGTAACAGAGGTTCCGCCCAAAAATCTAAACTCTAGATCCCTCAAAATTTTTGAAATTTTAAACAAGGAGCCTGTGCCTCACGACTCCCCCAACTTGCAATCTGGACTTCCTGTCAAAAAAGGGTTGGTGTGCAACACTGCCATTACGAACAAACCAAGCACACCCCCTCCCCCTCCTCCAATCCTCTCCCAATCAATAATATATTGAGATCAAATGTAAATTTTAATTTTCATCTAAATTAATTTTAGACATTGATAAATAGAGTCACGTTGATTCTAAAAATTTGATCCAAGGAGTAACAAGGCGCCTAGTAACTCTTTGGCTGGTCTATCCATTTCGTGCCTGCTGTTTCAGTCCTTCATTTCATTTAACAATACTTCTGTTTCCAATTAGTTGAAAACAATATTACAGAACTCCTGCTGTTAAATTTAAACAAGATGTCAATTTCAAGCTAGTCCATTAGACTGTACTCTTATAAGGTCCACAATTAGACCACTGGGCCTGCTGCGATGAATTTTGGATAAAATACAGAATCATTTTTCTCCTCCCTTTCTCTCAAAAATACTTTCTCCCTCTTTCTTTCTCTCTCTTTTCTTATTACCCTCCCTCTTAATAGCCCCCCCCCCCCCTCTCTCTCTCTTTCTCTATGTTGTTATTATTGTCCCTTCCCCTTCCCTTTCTCTCAAATACTTTCTCCCTCTTTCTTTCTCTCTCTTTTCTTTTTACCCTCCCTCTTAATAGCCCCCCCCCCCCCTCTCTCTCTCTCTCTCTCTCTCTGTTGTTATTACTGTCCCTTCCCCTTCCCTTTCTCTCAAATACTTTCTCCCTCTTTCTTTCTCTCTCTTTTCTTATTACCCTCCCTCTTAATAGCCCCCCCCCTCTCTATCTCCTTTCTCCTCCCTTTCTCTCAAATACTTTCTTCCTGTTTCTTTCCTTTTCTCTCTTTTCCTGTAAACTCTTCCTTTTAATAGCCCCTCCCTCTCTCTCTCAACAATGACACCTTACATGCAATTCTAAAATGATCAATGCTATCTGCTTTCTTCTTCACATGGTTGTCAACACTCATATCCTTCACCCCATCGCTACATTCGATCGTCCACAATTCAAGTGACATACTTGTCCAACTATTGATTTCTCTTTTTACAATACAATCAAAAGCAAGTGATATCTTTAACAAACATTGAATAATTAATACTGTCTCAACATCCAGCCTATTGCTTCATCTCTCTTAGACAGTCCTTCTAATCAATAATTATATCTATTCAAACCACCCCTCTACAATATGTGGTTTATATAGTTGGGTACATGTACGTACAGTTTATGTATCTGGTATCAAGCTACCACATTCACTTTCCACCTTTCATAGAAAACTAGATGGAATTCGACTGCGCGCAGTCGAAAATGATGCCTCCGTCATAGAGCAATTTTACAAACCAAAACAGAAGAAATTTTTCAAATTCAAGTTCAATTGTAATCCATTAACAGGTTCTCAGAATATCGTGATTACAAACAATTTCTCATATACATATATGACCCTTTGAACTTTGACCTCATGATCCTAATATCTACTCAGCTCATTGGCTCTGCAAGATATCCAGAGTTAAATAGTAATCCATCTGTCAGTTCTAATGAGAATGCGTTCACAAGCTATTTTTGCATACATAATGAGCCCATGACCTTGGACCTTATGAACCAAGAATCTACACAGTTCATTGGCTCTGCAAGATACATAAATGATCTAAGTTTGGCAGGAATCCATCAATCTGTTCTAATGATAACGCGATCACAAGCTGTTTTTGCATACATAATGGGCGCTGTGACCTTTGACCTTTGACCTCGTTACCCAAAATCTAATAAGTTCATCGGCTCTGCAAGTAACATACATGACCTAAGTTTGGCAGGAATCCATCAATCGGTTCTTGAGATAACGCGATCACAAGCTGTTTTTGCATACATAATGAGCCCTGTGACCTTTGACCTCGTGACCCCAAAATCTAATCAGTTCATTGGCTCTGCAAGATACATACATGACCAAAGTTTGGTAGGAATCCATCTATCGGTTCTTCAGATAACGCGATCACGAGCCGTTTTGCATACATAATGAGCCCTGTGACCTTTGACCTTTGACCTCGTGACCCCAAAATCTAATCAGTTCATCGACTCTACAAGATACATACATGACCAAAGTTTGGCAGGAATCTATCAATCGGTTCTTCAGATAACGCGATCACGAGCTGTTTTTGCATACATAATGAGCTCTGTGACCTTTGACCTTTGACCTCGTGACCCCAAAATCTAATCAGTTCATCGACTTTGCTAGATACATATATGACCAAAGTTTGGTAGGAATCCATCGATCCGTTCTTCAGATAACGTGATCACGAGAACGGGACGTACGTACAGACGTACGTACGGACGTACGGACGGACGGACGGACGGACGGACGGACGGACGGACGGACGGACAACCCGAAAACATAATGCCTCCGGATACTTCGTAACGGAGGCATAAAAATGTGAACAACATGGAGAGCATCATCAGTCTATAGTAATCTTATTGATTGATCATCTGTACATTAGCAGACCATTCAGAGCAACTACTCCTCTGAACAGCACACATTCTGAATGCGAGTGCAGACTGCCGGGGAATTTCTTTGAAATTTGCAGTTCACCTGGTTCATGTAATGCTGAAAGTACATGCACATGTATACATGCTACTTGCACTTTCTGATTTTAAAGGTCATTAGCAGAACAAAGATTTGCAATTTTTCTATGGAGATTGGGCTAGTAAACATCAGTAAAAGCAAACTGTTTATTACTTTTTGCTCAACATTCCTGATTAAAATGTAAGGCTAGAAGTAGTAGCAGCAGTATTTGCACTTTTGCAGTGCTAAACACAAAGGTTACTTAAAAACTCATGCTAATTACACAAAAGAGATTTGATCTTCTGTTTTTTTACAGTCCAAACATACTAGCTAATAATAATACAAATATTCTGCATTTATATAGTGCATATACCGGTTATGTCTCGCTTTACAGATATTTCCTGGTCATCGAATTCAGGCTTGCCGGCACACTATCTCATATTCTCCACTCACTGGGGAGCATTCTCGCCAGGCACCATATTCACAATGCTGAGCAAACTACATTTAGGTTTGCATCCTACCTGGTACCTATTCAACACCTGGGTGGGGAGTGGCAAATGTAGATTAATGTCTTGCCAAACGAGTAGAGTATGGTATTAACGTCATCAGCATCACAATGCATCACTCAGTGGGAAATGTCGATACGAATCAATAGGTAAGTCAACCAGAGTATTCCATTTCCTGGAGTGATCGAATCCCAGTCTCATTTCAAGCAGAGAACTGTGACGATCTCTCATTCAAAGCACCGAGGAAGCTAGACACCAACAGAAGAAGGAATTTAATCCTCTTTCTTGCTTTAATCTAGTCCACATCTCTATTTCTAAATGTAATGCCTTTAACACCTAATCATTCCACAAGCTATTCTTCAATGGGAAAGCTAAAAGCTTAGCCTTTTGTCATTGATGGTCTTACAGTTAGATCATTGATTAATCCTATAAGCACAAATGGCAAGCCACTTCAGAAGGAACAAACTTAATTAGATTAAAGAAAGCTTCAATAATGAGTATAATTACACCAGAGAGAGCCTTCCTAATGACCTTGGGATTAATCCTTTTCAAACTAAACTTGCAGTCTACAACCTAGTATGTGATCTGACCTATCCCATAGAGATAATTATTTGGTAGCAGTGTGGACACTTTTTTTTTCCTTTTCATTTTTGTTGTTGTTGAAGGAACATCTTTTTGGACTTGTGTTTTACAGTGAAATTCATCACAGTGATTTGATTTTATATAGTTTGACAAAGCTTCTTTGTATATTCTTTCCAGTGATAAATCATTCAACCCTTCCATTATTTTTTTCACTGGTTGATATCTGTTTTCATGATATCAGTTAAAAATAATCTGTTTTCCTCTCATATAAATCATAAAAACCAATTCAATAGTGATGATACATGTATTTGAAATGGAGAAAAACTGATCAAGCCTTTCGGAGATCAAGTACAAATGAAAGAATAAGAACAAGGAACACTACATGTTTTCTAACAAAAAGTCATGATCCAAGCTGAGGACTTGATTGAGGAGATCTCCATTTTGGGTCAGAAGTGCAATTGTGCACCAAATTAGCCAAGTTTAAGGTCGCATAATAAATTATATCCCACCTGGGATTCAGAGAACTTTGTCAAAGAAGCAAAGTCAATCCTATGAATTAGAAATCTGGTCAAATCATGGACCTAACAACTAACCTCTCCATAGAAATAGAACACCTCATCAATTTTTCACGCAATCTTAATCCCGGACATAAAGAATTGACCCTAATGAATAGCTCCTAAAAGATGATTGATAGCTTGTCCATTCAATCAAACACACATCAACATCAATCATCCGCAATACAGACCCAGCTATTACACTCAAACACGCTTCACTGGACAAGAAATACCACTGGAAAAATTAGGTCAAAGAATTGGAGAATGTACAAATAGAACTAATAGACGAGCTGAACAGAAGCGCCCGATACAATGAGCACCAACGAACATGTGATCTTTGTACTTACCGGAAAAAGGGGGTCCGAGTCCAAGGGTTCTAACGGCGGGATGACTCCGTCGATTAGGGTAGACGCCAGGAGTCTATTGTATAAATGCGACTAGAGTCCGACTTTGAAAGTAACAACAAGAAAGTCACTTATTTGCACAATGATAGGATGATTGGGTTTCCTATGTGTATTGAAGTTACAAGGTCCAAGTTCAAAGAACGAAGATCGTGAGCGGCTTACGGTGGTGATAATATAATCCAGTAAACAGTTGAGATTCCTGCAGATGATGAAATAGAAACCAAAGACAGTGATTAGAAAATGACAAGTGCGGTTTATTCTTCAATAGAAGTTTAAATCATTCATGAATTGATATGATACTAGTTTCAATTGTAAATGTAATAGAAACCAGATTCTAATGACATGTTATTAATGTACTTCTCTCACTAAAGTTTCTTTCCTGCTTTACCCTACAAAATAATTTTGAATGATTTTGAAATTGCTGTGATATTGTGGGGTAGAGAAACATAGGGCATAGAGCGATGCATGTCTTGTACATGTTTATTGTAGCCCAATTTTCACATAATAGGCTACAATATCACAATTAAACTTCAAAAGATAATTCTTGATTTAATGAAGCCAGAACAAAACTAAAGTTCAACTTTCTTTGAATATAAACAATCCCTGGCAACCCAAACACTGTAAAAGGATACCAGGCACAAGTGAAACAGCTTTTGTACAATCTGGCATCCTATGGTGTAGCCTACTCAATTTACAGAACCAGCAGTAGTGCTCAAGATAAGACCCATTCACAATAACAGAAAAAACAATTTGAAAAACGTTTGTTTTTGAACTACCATTTGCATACTGGATAAACCCATTTGAGAAATGTTGTGTTTGCTACAACTGTGTTTTTCTAATTGAGTGTAAGTTGCGTGCATGCACCACTTTTCGCTGCTCTGCACAGAAGCAAGGCACGTCACATGACCAAAAACAGGAATAATTAATTGGTGTCTTGAAAGTGAGCATTTACACTAGAAAAAACGGCGGAATGTCGGCTGGCATTAAATAAAACACAATCCAGAGGTGGGTTTTTTATTAAGGTTTTTAAAATCCTTTTTAAGGGTAGTTACTAGGTGGCTGTTATGTAACTTCTGACAAAACTCTGGGATATGAACAAAACCGATGGTTTTTGTTTGCGGTGTGAATGCCCCCATAGAAAAGAAAAGCAGATCAGCGTCAGAACCCCTGGGGTCTGTAGTCTGAGCCTTTGCTTTCCTTTATTGGAAACTGACTGTTATTAGGAGTGTTCTGTTACTGATTCAAGTATATCTTGGATAAATTCCACAAGTGGTTTACAGTAGTCGGATTATTGATTGGTCTTACTTTACATCTCCACATGTCTTAAACTCAATAAAAGACAAATTCTTTCCAAACTAGACCCTTTTTTGGATCAATTTTCATCTTATATTGGAACATAATTGATGGTTTTGAGGTTTTAGCTTCTGTATTTTACAAATCAACTGGAATATAAGCAATGACTGAGTTGAAAGTAATTTTTTTCTTGCTAGCATAAAATGCCTACCATACATTATGTAAGCCTACATGATAGTCAAAATGCTGCAAGTAAATTAAACATTGTGATATTTAGTATGACTGTATGGCATCTCTGGACCTTGGATGTATGTACATGTAGATAGGTCTCAAGATAACAAGGTCATAACATAACAAAATTCACAGTTGAAGCAAATTTATGATTTTTTTTGTTCTTCTAATTTGAATTTTGAAAATGGTCTTTTGTAAGAGGTCGTGCACTCATTACTTCTACAAGGGGTCGAAATTCAGCTGGCCAGGTGATCCATCAAATTAAAAAATTCTAACCAAAATAATAAGTGAATAATATACTCATGGACATCGACCAACCGTGTCACCTACCTCAATGACTGTTGAGTATTGTCCTTGTTTCAAACTAACTACTCTTCCCACACGAGGGCTAGCTGGTTACATCCGGCATAGTCCTGACAACAATAAGACATCGGCAGAGCATGAAGGCGTGTCTCCTTGTGTAATCCAGACTGGTCCTATTGAAGGATTAGAGCTCTACAACCTGGAGAGATAAAGAAAGAAAACACATTGGTAATCATTACAAGACATTCTTGGTGTAAGGTCAGTCTCCGCTGTGCTCTTCTTACGTAATAATGATAGAAAATGAACTCACAAATCATTTGCGTAGCTCTGATATCAAATAGTGAAATAAGAAAAAACGGGGAGAGAAGGAAGGGTAGAGAAAGAATGGGAGAGGGATATCAAAGTTGAAAAGAAGTTGATTCGACCCCCTCTTCCTATGGCCTTTTCCTCTCCAGCTCAGTTGGTAGAGCAGTGGTCTCGTAATCCGGCTACCCGGATTCTTAACCAACCAGACCAATGCTACACCACTGCAAAATATTGTGTGACAAGTTTCTGATCTTCACACTGTGCATAGACTTTGCAAGTAGTAACAAAGAACACACATACAGTATATTTCAGTACTTTCTGTTTAAAAATGTATAAATGTCAAATTCATGAACAGAACAAAACATAGCTATTTCTTTAACAATAACTCATCAATGATTTTGAATTCATGATTCCAAAACCTCCTCCTAATACAGAACCAGAGACGCCAAGGTAAAAGATCGGCGATGCGTGACATTTTCATTTTTCGGCGCGCGAGCGCGCGTGCGAGGGTATAACACACGTATAGGTATGGCGTTTTTTTTTAATCTAGCGCGCGCCGTGTGTGAGAGCCGTTTTCAGATCCTCCAAATGCGTGACGTCACGCCTAATGCGTGACACTTGGTAGCTCTGCAGAACTGTCCTTCAACTATTAAGAATAACTTCTACAGTTTTGTTCAAAAATGCATCAGCAAGATCAGTACCCGACATCCTCTTTAAGCCATCACTATGGCAACAGCTGAGGTGATGCGATCCTCGAGGGGGAATCTGAGTTCACAATCATCCGTGATGTATGCACCATGTGTGCATGACAGCGTGAAGATGTTCTCATGAAGGGGTTAGTTATGCAGATGCTTAGCATGTCGAGAAGTGCGAGGATGAAAATAGATTTCAACACTCATGTTCAGTAGTCAGTACACTCTCACATTTGTAGGTATTATTTATGCTCATGATTAGCCTAAGTGTGAAGATGAAAACAGATTTCCAAAATGCACACTGCATAATACATGTATCCATGTATACACTGATCGTAATGATGCATTCTCACAGGAGTAAATGAGTATATTGGTTTCATCAGATTTCAGCAGTTATTGGTGTGGTGGGAATGTAATTCTAATTAATCTTTCTTTCTCTTTTTACTTGAATTAGGCCAGAATTAAATTAAAGTCATGAATCATGATACATTAATTGTTACATGGTTAGAAAAGGAATTTTTAATCCCTTAAAAGAACCTTGCTAGAGAGACATTGACATAAATGTAACTGACATAGAATAACAGATTACCATGGAAAAAATCCATCAATTGATGTCACTTTTAACACCAATGTCACACTAAAAAAAAAATGAAAATACACATTTGCAAAAACATGCTGTGAAATACAAAAATATCCAACTATTTGTTTTGAATATAACATTTTCTATCCTGTAATATACATCTGTTCATCATCATCATCATCAAACATATTCCCATTATTTTATAACTGACAATAAAACAAATAACTGTAATAAAGCAAACCACATCATTCAATTACTAACAAAAGTCAAGTTCAAAGCCACAGCCCACATACTGTGGATATGATTAAGAACAAAATCGGCCAACAGTCTCCATATCATCAATCACAGTCAAAGAATATCTGATGCCTAAAATGCATCCTTTTCTTTCAAAGTCACTGGCCATTTCAAAACCAACCACAGGCATATTTGGTTTGTGTACTTAGGCTGCGGCGCCTCCATCATTAACTGAAATTGAATTTCAGTCATTGCAAATTTATCTCAGGGATGAATTTTAATATGGAAAGTGGTATAAATATTGGAGTAAATGTGGCAGAAATGATTGACAATCATTCCAGTTTTTGATCTGTCAGTGTGTTGCTAAATTGGAATGAATTAAATTCAAGGGTAATGGTTTGCTTATTAATTTTTTACAAGATTGCCATTAACTAAAAGTATTTCAATCTATGTAAACACTAGTCATATCAGATGTATACAAAAGTTGAATCTACATATTTATCCTACATTTGTAAATATAGGTATTTTGATTCGTTTTTCCAGAGGATTTGTTCAAATATTGTTTTAAAAATCACCTACAAGTCAAAGATGATAATATCAATGTGTCTGTTTCACAATTAGTGAATACATTAGAGGATAAATGTAAATTAGGATACAATTGTTCAGACAGCCTTGACTACGTTTTTTTTTAAATGTTGTTACAAATGTAATATAATTGCTTTGTTTACAGAGTCTTGAAATGTTAGGAGTAAGTGCTAAGTAATGGTCCTTGTAATATTATCAATGTCATATAAAAGAAGCTTTAAGGAAATAAGGAATATCATAAATTTCTTAAAAATGGTATGGAAAATCCTGCGGATGAGAAATTTGTTCAATGTACTATTAACTTATTCAAAAAGATAGTGGTTTCTTTCTCTCTAAATGCCTGTTTTGTTACATAAGGCCAAATAAAATTAAAAAAACATGTTTAGCATCCTGTTTTTTTCAAAAAATAGGAAGGAGGAGGCCCTGTTTTTTCTTTTTTTTTTCTTTCAAAATGGCCGCTCAAATGGCTGCTCGGTACATTTTCCCTGACAGTCGGGCTATTTTTCAAGATGTCCGCCAACATTTTTTTTTTTTTTTTTTTATCAGAAATAGATTGATTTTTAGCAGTGTTTTACATGTTTTTTTCTTTAAAAAAAAAATTCAAAAAAAAAATCAAAAATAATTTAAAAAAAAAAAAAAAAAAAAAAAAAAATGGAGGCGGCCCCCCAAAAGGAAGCGGGCGGGGACGCTAAATATGTATATTTTTTTAATGGCCTAATTGCTGGGCTTTCTTCTCAATCTCAGTTCCCTTTTTATTACCAACAGTGCATGTAACCGGAAACACCTTACAAGTCCTATTCATATGGGGCTTGTATAAAATCCAAAAAAGTTCCCAATAATCCCTGATAATTGTCCCTTTGAGCCGAACTAGCCCAGGAGAAAACTTACCAATGCCCTGGACTATGGAATATCTTGAATGAGAGGAATCAGGAGTATTGCCACCAGAAAGACTTAGGATAAACAAACAATTCTGGTAATCACTGAAATCATGCAAGTGATACCTTTGGTTAGCAGATTAGCGTTTATTTTTAGTGAGAATACATGGAAGTGGAAATCGTAGAACAAGAAAACCGTTGAAGGAGAAGGAGAAGGCCATTTTATTTCTCTCTGTTTCCTCAAGTGTTTACCGGTAGTTAACAAACAAAGAACGTATTGTATGTAGTCTTGTGACCTGCAAATAAATAAAATCAAATGTTATTCAAAATAATCTAGCTTGCCAAAAAATCATCACTACTGCAATTGCCCAATCTATTGAAGATCATAAAAGTAGGAAAATGTACCATACCCAGTACTCATTTTCCCTAGTTGATTGGACATTGTGTTATAAAAAACGTTAGGAAATTTTGATTTTGATTTTTCAATCATGAATATCTTGATAATCTGACAGGCGATCGGCTTGTAAAAGTCATGGGATTCCTGACTGAACTAAAGGTTTATGATTGCAGCATGAGCCTAATCCAGGATTTTGTTTCAGAATCTGAGGCAATTATGTTACCGAGTCACTTTAAGAATTACTCTTGTTGAAATTGTTGAAATTTAGTTTATCCCTGGTACAATCATTGCCAATAGTCAAGAGTGGTAACACAGATCTGCAACAAGTACGTGTATCTTCTAAAATGATTCAAAATCCAGATAAGCTGGACTTCCAGACACACTTACCTAGTTTTGAGCAAAGCAGAGTAATTATTTCCAGACGTATATTGTTCCGAATATCCTCATTCGATCGTTATCAAATTATTCCTCTCCATTCAAGTCCTCCAAATGGATGTCCATTTGCGGTAACGACATGAAGAAAACTAACTGCGATCGACCCTCACAATACCGCCACTGCGATGATCATCCCTCCTGACTGTGCAAGTAACAATGTACACAGCGGAGCTACATGAAGATAAGCACTAAAGTACAATGGCTTGGAGAGCCCCGACAGTCAACCAGACGCGAAGCACAATAGACACTCCAATGTGCTCACCTATGAAAGACAAACAATATAAATGCACTGCTAGCTCAGTGTGGACTCCAGCCCCGACTGGTAACGGCCACAATAATGCGTCAGGCTTGACTTCTCCGCCACAATCCTCTCAAACTGAAACACAATGCCGCGATTGATTTGGGGGAGGTTGGTTTAGATTGAGAGAAGTTTTTTTTTACAAGCTTGTCCCATGACATATTAGGGTGTCTCTAGGAGGAGGGAGGGAGATTCAAGAAAAACTTTACATCCCACTGAACATGAGTGACATCAGAGGGATAAAGATGCTCAAAAGAAGATATGGAAGAGTTCTCTTATACCCATTCTTATGAAGCTCTAAAATCGAAATTTCACATAAGTTCTGCATTAAAGACAACTTTACAACAAAAAATTAATCATAATCATACAGTTACAGTAATGGTAAATTCAATAACTATACAGCTATTGTTAATTTAGCTTACTTTTTCTACAAATGTCTAAGATTAGGAATTTTTTTTAATGTCAATTGATCTCTGTAAACTTTTACAAGTGGAAAACAAATTTCTGAATGGAATATAAATACTTTATTTTTCAATTTCATTTTTTTTTTCAACTTTGAAAGCTATGTATGTTTGTATCAGTAAGCAAAAAATTCATGACGTTACATAAAAATGTTTGACTCACTTGGTGTTCAGGCGACTCTCTCATTTTTCCTTTATACAATTAAAAATTGAGGTGACTGCCACTTATTAACAATTTTTCTATACATTCCAGATACATTATAAAAATATCTTTCATCTTCATAATATTGAACAACTTTGGTTTTCATTACAACAAATACAGGAAGCCTGTTTCTTAGCTTTGCTGAGAAAATGTGTTGCTTTATCAATGTTACTATGCAATTAAAGTGCATCATCAAGAGAAATTCTTGGCAATTGGATGGAATGTAATTTTTTGTTCAGTCAGGTGGGTGTTTCACAAAGATCCTAAGTCGAACTTAACTCTAAGTTGGACTTAAATATTATGGAGAGCCATTTGTAGCCTTATAATGAAATACATTCAAAAGCAGAATTCAAGTATATTAGACTTTTCATAAATTCCACATCAAGAACATGAAATCTCCCAAGATAATAGAAAATATGAATGATTTGAATCAACATTTTATGCCTTTTAAAATAATTTATACAAATATTTTCAATGATGCTAACGGCTTTCCATAATTTTTCAAGTCCAACTTAGAGATAAGTTGAACTTAGGATCTTTGTGAAACACCCCCCAGGTGTCAGTACTCGTTGGTGTGACCACGGTATGAACTTCATTCATGCAGGAATCAGAATCTAGCTGCAATCAATTCATATATTCAGCGGTTCACAAAATATGAAAGAAGATGACACAAGCAGAGGTGGGATTGAAAGGGATTGGACAAACAAAGGAGGGATAGCAGAAAATACATGAACAAAAGAGGTACAATGAAGGAGGGTAAGAGGGAGAGGTAGAGGGAGAGAGAGAGAGAGAGAGAGAGAGAGAGAGAGAGAGAGAGAGAGAGGTAGAGAGAGAGAGAGAGAGAGAGAGAGAGAGAGAGAGATACATGTTTCATGTGTGTAATAGCAATACAAAGTTGTCTTCGTGCAGTTGTGCTGCATGATAAAACTGAAACATATAGTCAAACCTGCTTTAGTGATCACATGTATAGAAAGACCACATTTTTTGTTTCCCTTGAAAATGGTTTCTCATTGAAACATGTACAAAGAAAGTTAAGAAACCTGTACATATAAGACCCCCTGCCTATAAAGACCACTTTTCTTGTCTCCCTTGTGTGGTCTTTATAGACAGGTTTCATTGTATATGACTATCTTGACTTGATGTGAAACTGTGTCACATGATCTAATACATGTTGAAATGATATTGTACATATTATTGTTTTGAATTGTTGCATAAAATTTGTTGTCAAAACAGCATTACATTATGTCATGGTGCAAAGTTTACCCCTACAAAAACGATTCCCCCTTCAAATTATCATAAAAACAAACTTATACTGACTCAAATTTATTACCCTATAAAATCAAAGACCTTTGTCATCTGCCATTATTGACCTGTTTTAACGAGGGGTCTTTAAAATATGAATCCAATCATAACCCTTGTTCTGGGTGTGTGCATTTTATCGCTTGTAAATGGAATGAGTGATTTTGAATTCAAGCGCCGCCGGCATATCCAGAATGATGATCTATTTATGATAACCAGGGGTATAATTTTTCTGAATCCTATCTCCTTTGCCCATCTTCATATAGCCTATAAAGGAGTGTTTTTCAAATCACCAGTGTCTATTTATATCCCATATTTGTTGGTATATTGGAGCTGCACATGCTATACATCAATACAATTCCATGCCTTCGAAATCTCAAATAAATCATGAATATGGCAAATATGATTCATTAATGGACTAACTAATTGCTCGAAAATCAAAGAATATGAATTAAGACTTTAATCAATGCAATAGTGATTGTTCGCATTCTATTATTATAAACATCGCAACTCAAGACTATCCTGCCTTCTATTTATTTTGGTACAGATAAATGAAACAAAATTTTATTTCTATTGACAATATCTCAAAAATTTGAAAAGTAAAACATCATTGTCACCCCCCCCCCCCCCCAACAAACAATTCAAAGTTACTGCCACAACATGCACATATGTGCTTGCCAAAGATCAACAAAAAAGTGGGACTAATTTATGTTGCAGCAGTGCCTGTTTGTCTCTCTTATCTGCAATCTATTTTGAAGGCTAATTACACCGGTTAAACATAAAAATGTAAATACTGTACATGTATCTAAATGTATGTAAGGTTACTAAGAAGATTTGTAATAGGACACTGCCCTGATTTAAAGTATAGCATGGATGTAGGCTCTACTTTCTATAGTAATCAGTTTGAACATTTAAGCAGTTAACTAAATCATTCGTATACAAATAATTAGATGTTAACTGTATAATACACTGTACATGAGGTGGGGGGGGGGGGAAGGGGGGGGGTAGCACAACAGAAACAGAAGATATACCAGTATTTGTTAAATTAAGAACAAATAGGCCTAAACCCAAAACAAAATTTAATGGAAAATATATGTCTCATAATATTCCAAATGACCAGTTTAGGACTACATCTGTACTTTAAATAAAACAAAAATTATTCTTTTCACCCTGTGGAAAATGGGGGGGGGGGGGGGGAGGGGATGTGTAAATTTATTTCTTTACTCTTTTATTTTTACCCTAAAACTCAGTCTCAGTTAATAGGAACAAATAAATTTACCAAAAATAGCTGTCAGATTCTAAGATTTCAACCCGTGATACCTATGAATCTATTGATGCTCCTCAAAATGGGGTATGGTTTAATAGGGCTGTGTTCAGGTGTTTGGAGTGCTAGGGAAAAAATATACGGGGGCTTAGGGCAAATTAGCCCCAGAAATGCAAAAAAAAAAAGCCCCCGAAAGTCATAAAAGAGCCCCCCAAAAATGTGCATAGAGTTCAATGTAAAACAAATTAAAGAGTGTTATTTTCATGCAAGCAAGCTTGAAAAGTAGCCCTCCAAATTGTTAAAGTATTATTTTCCCTGTCCAGAAGCGCCTTGTTCTACTTATTGGCAGACTAAACACTAGAATTTACTAATCTTTTTATTTATTTGGAATCTGAACAAACACCTTTGTAAAAAATAATCACCAAGGTTTCAAGGGATAGTGCTATATACCTCCCAGCATCCTCTGATCTAAACTTCTGTAATCCGTTTGGTGTTGTTGGTTTGAGCCTTCTAGGGGCTGTGTTAGGAGTGTCCTGTTCTACTTATTGGCAGACCAAACACTAGATTGATACCAGTTATATTTACTCACAAAAGAAAAGCCATGTCCCCAGGACTGCAATACACATGTTGACCAAACTTGAAAGATAAAGAGTCAAACTAAAAGCAAATAGAGGACCAAGGGTCCAGTCATATACAGCTGTCTTGGCTGCTGTCGTGATGTGGGAAGAGAGATTCTAGCTGCGGCATTATAGCACCTACATGTAGAAACAATATTTCATTCACAGACGTTACATGGTTGACGTGCCTTTGTGTTTGAGATAACAAAATAATACTCTGTACTTTTCTTAAATTATTAGTACTTATGATATCAATTAAATTCTCCTATTCAGGGAGAAAACAATTTTTAGGTTTACATGTACATAAACTAAGTTTAAGGGGTCCGGTCAACATCAGTCATTTTGTACTTAAGCAATGATGAATTTTAAAGGATTGAAAGGAAGAAAGAAAGTTAACTAGTTAAGATACCTGTATTTGAAAGAAGAAAATATTGCTGGCTTATATACAGATCAAAGGCTGGGCTACATGCACATACTGATATCAGCAGAAGTCCACACTAGGTGGTGTGTGGGACACATCATTACATGGGTGCCAAAAAGGGAACACTGCCCCCCCCCCTCCCCCCCCCCCCCCAGGGAAACAAATATTTTAAGAATTTGGGGGGCTACTTTCCAGCTTGATAACTAGAAATATCGCAATCTGTATTGCCGCGCAATGCGAATGTATCCCCCGGCAGTGGCAGCGATTTTGTGTTATCCTTATGTGGAAGGAGGGACAAAGATTCCCTCTCCTCTTTGTGAAACAAAAGGATGACGTAGAGATTGCCGCAAGTGGCTCAGACTATTGTCAAGACTAGGAGCAGCATCACTAAAACAATAGGTGTGTAGATCAGATTATGATGCATATTTATAGAAAATTTGAAAGAAATGTGATTTGCATAGCGACACAAGATATTCCTTTAAATATGACCTTTGACCCTATAAGAGATGGAATACTGGGGGGTAGCAGCACCAAATTTGTGGAGGTCTAGAGTAAACTATAATGAACCTTAATACAAGCAGCATCCCTAAAATCTATAGGCTTGTAGATTATACCAAGAAACACCTTTGTTCAAAATTTGAACAAAATCCCTTTAGAAATGTGGCCTATAGAGCACACACAAACCATCCACAAAAATATGGCCTTGTACCCTATAGAAGATGGAACACTGGGGCAGCATCACCAAAAGTTATAGGTATGTAGATTATACCAGGATACACCTCCATACAAAATTTGAAAGAAATCCGTCAAGAAATGTGGCAGTTAGAGCGCACACTAGAGTGCACACAAGAC